TTGTAATACTACACAGGATTTTAATTGTGACATACTACGTTCTTGTCAGAGCTCTGAAGTTGCTCTAATTTCAAATTCAAAACTTCAGCCTTGCCCACAGCGTAAGTTTGATCTCCCTATATCTTTTGTTAGTGTATTTTTTTTTTGTAAAGCCTAGTTTAGAAATAATAATTTAGAAATCTGTTTATAAATACCCAGGTTAGATGTTGATATTTGTTTATTTGATGTTATGGTTTATTTCTGTGTTTTATTGAAAGACTTACTTTTAAAGTTTGCTGATCAGTGATTCTCATTTTAGGACTTGTAAATAGTCAGAGAGGTATTTTGGCCCCCTTAAAGTTAAAAGGGGCTTTTATATTTGGTAGTGGAAGAAGCAGTAATGGGAGACTGTCTTACGATCTGCTTTATGAGTAGACCAAAACAATAATTGTACAAATAATTTCAAGGTGGAGAGCTCATTGGGGTCAAGTGTCTGCACAGATGGTGCGTAACAACTTCTAAAGGTTTTGAGATCATAGCTTGGTCTTTCGCCTCCTTCTAATTACCCCAAATCATTTGGGTAATCCGTTTGAAAACTGAATCCATTTTGATTTCACCCTGCTAGTCTAACGTTTTTCAGTTTGATTCTTCTCTTATTTTTTCTAGCAGAAGATGGTACTCCTGGCAGCTGCCTTCCATTAAAACTGCTGGGTGGCACGAGGCAGTTGCATCTTCACCTGTTTATTTATTTATTTTTTTTTTTAGGAAAAGGGTGTTTTCTTAAATACACCTCAAATAATTTCATTTCTTGATTTCCTGTATCCAAACCTCATTCAAAAGTGCCATATTTCTCTTTGTCATCGTTTTGTTAATGAGAAGATGTTCACGGGCAGCTAGCTTCATGTGTTGCAACTTTGTTTCTCTTGCTTTTCCTTCTGCTTCTTGTTCCTGGATTTCCTGTGAAGTCAGCTCTCCACAGAAGTGTGATAAAATAACTCTTCGTATTTCCCTGGAGGTTTTCACATGCGTTTCATGGAAAGCCTCATTTTAGCCTTATGGAACCAGGGATAAACTGATTTGTAGGAGGTTAAAAAGAACAATGTGTATGAAAAGAGCAGGTGATGGATGGTTATGTGAGACTATTGCTGAAAGGACAGAGACAAGAAGAGCTGAATGAACCGTAACATCTACAATATAAGATGAGATTCATTATGCAAAAGATTGTGAAGTTGGCTTATTAACAATTTAAATAAGAATACTGGGTGCTGTAGCACTTCAGCACCTGTGACTGTGCTGCACAGGCTTCATTGATGTCAGTTGGTGCTGGAGATCTTTCCAACAGCTTCAACAGAGTCTGGCTTCTAATGAAAGTACAGTGGATGGTAGCTGCTGGTGATAAATGTGTCCTTCTGTACAACCACTATTTCATTCACCTGTAATGCTCAGGGCTTCGCATGCTGAGCTAGTGCCTGCACTGAGAGAAATTTTGTGGACGTCCATTTAGTAAAATGGATAACAAATGGGTAAACTGTCAGATGAGCTGAGAGCACTTCATTCAGAGCCACTTTGTTAATTTCTGTCACCATACTTTTGGTATAGTAGACCTACTTTTTTCTTTGAGTGGTGTCTGTCCAGTGCCCTTTTTATGTTGTACTACTAGTGATCATGCACAAAAAGCAGTGCAATGTTAAAAGGGCATTGGCCAGCAATACTGTCTACGTTTATTATTATTATTATTGTCAGAAGTCACTATTGTATGTCTGAGACCAGAATGTGATTTGCAAAACAACTGTAAAATGAGATTGCCACTGATTTATTTTTTTTGCACTCGTTATCTTCTACTTATTTGCCAAGGAGAAATGTTAACTGGTCTTTACTGACAAATACCATTGACTCTGTGTGTGTGTGTTTCCTTAGAAAGAAGAGCTCTACAAAGAGGAAGGAACACTGTAGAGCATTCTTATCTATTTCAGTGTGGAGTTGGCTCAGGTTGTTGCTCTGCATCCATCAGCAATCATCCGTATCTCCACTCCATTCCTCTGGTTCTTTGCGTTTTGTTGTTAAGTGTCTAGTGCCTTCAAATCTTAAGAGTTCTCAAACTTTTTATGTAAAGTTACTGGTTTTGTTAAAAAGAAACACATTTATTCAGATTTATGAAATACACCCCAACTTTGATGGTGGTCTAACATGCATGTGGTAACCCCACTGGTAATGGACATCCACAATATTGGGAAATGAGTGTTCCCTGTAATGAAGTTTAAGAACATCTGTCTGAGAGCAGTTTAGAATCTTTGCTTGCTATAAATTTGGAAATGTAGTTCCAGTTAAAAGAGCACCAAATTGTTTGAAATTGAATTTCTGACAGATCAGTTGAGTGCTCTGTTGAGTATCTTCCTGCTTTTTTATCCCCCTTCTCGGTCAGCGGAATGACAGGGATCATGAATAATAATGATGTGTTGAAATATGTGAGTTCTCGTGTGTCTGTAGCAGGACTTGGTGAACATTAACTTTATCCAATTCTCCATGATCCACAGAAACCACTACGGGACTCAACCTATTTTTTCCCGATACGTATTTGGAGTGTGTTGATTACTCGTACAGAACTCTTGCTGCTAACGAATGCTCTGACTTTATTGCACTACTGTACTGTACAGCTAGCAGTGCAATAGTATTGTCAAAGCATCTGAAAGCAGAGCGCGCAGCAGTGGCTTGAGGCTGGTCTCACACTTTCTAACACTTTCTTCCAAGCCTGTGAGTAAATCACAATTTTACATTTCACCAACTGCGTTTTCTGGGTGATTGTTGTACACTACTCATCATGTGAATGGTCCTAATCGATAGCGTTGAGATTTTTGCAGATGTATGTTTCCTGAAATACAGCAAGAAATAGGTATTTATGAAATAAAGGAAGAATGGATCATAATGGACCAACATGTGGCAGTGCTTATAAACATGCTTTGAAATAACTGATAATAAATTGGTTCCTTTTAGAGTTGGTTTCTTTCAGGAGAAAGTAGTGATACTGAACACTGTCAATATTTTCATGATGCACAAATCTTAAAATTACAGCCACAGGATGGAAAAGTGTTCAGCTTCACATTCAATTTTTGATGTCTTGAATGATAGCAGTAGCACGGTATTGGTGGCTTGCTGTCATTCTGTAAATCTCACACTATCAATGTTGAATATTTCAGGAACAGACCTTCATGGATAATTTTAAAAACCACCCATGTGCTTTCCCAATAATTAATAATCAGATGGTGGAGTTGGAGAAAAGCAAAAAATTATCTTTTTGGGGTGCTTGTCCCTAGAAATGAAAACCTAGAAATGTTGGCTGATGGAGAACCGAAATGATTGAGCAGTTAGGGAAAATCCCTCCTAAGCTCTTTCAAATACATAGTGGAATAAAAAGTGGTTTATTCTCGCATTTTACCGTGACTGGTCTCTGGGTTAAATGTGGGAAGGAGTTTTGTTGGGCAGATGGTAAGTTATGGGAGTAATGAGTGAAAGCTTTCCTTTTTGATTTATAGATGCTCAAGGTCTTTACTAGATTTATTTTCCTTTTCTTAAGCTATTATTTGAGAATTCGCTGAAGGTGTGTATATATAGGAAAGATCCTACATTTTCAGTGTGTGAGAACGCGGATTTTACTCGTAGAATATCTTGGATCAAAGACTATTTCTTTAGGCCATCTGAAGTTCCACATCCTCAAAAGGTCTTAATGGCAGCTCCTGAAGGTGGATCCCAAGGCTGATGTTTAAAATAAAACACCCTTTGGTAACCAGGCCTGACTACAGGCTACATCCAGAGACTGGATGTAGTAGACTGCTTTCAGATGCAGCTAACAACTGTAGCCCTGTTTTGAGCCTTAAAATGTTGTAATGGTTACTTTGGGGCTCATCTCAATATAAATATTGAAAACCAAGTCACAGAAGTGACAAGAATTTTAACTTGCTTTCATCATTCTTTGTTCTGCGACTGTAAAATCCCCAAATTATTACGTTAAGAAATTCCTGAGTTTTTTGTGAACTGGGAAGACTGCCTTTCTTTAGAGCAGAAGTCCCTAATATATATTAAAATTGCAGACTAAATTAATTAAGTAATAATGCTATCAGCAGACTGTTTTACAAGGCAATTAGATAATTCTCTGGTGGCTTATTTATCCCAAGGAAAGAAACGTGATGTCATCAATTTTACTATCTATTTGTCAGACTGGTTTATTGGGGAATAATAAAATGTATTATGGGTATTATAACCATCTGAGAGAATGCATTCCTAACATAATTATCACAAAATCTCTGTTGCTATGCTTGGATCCTGAACACTTACTCATAATCTCTGCTGTGTAAATAACTGAGTATTGCAGTTTTGCTAACAGAACTTTTAATGTTCGAAAAGAAAAGCAACTAGCCCAGAAAAGGCTCTAAAAATTGATGGGAAATATGTTGCTATCTCGGGAGAAAAAAACCAAACGCCTCCTGCGCCCAGTGAAGATCAGTGTAAAAAAGGCGCGTGTTCTTTTCTGTCGAGATAACTTACCTCTTTGGTGTACTGCTTAAAAACTTTGTCTTGAGAGGTTTGGCATTGCAGGGGAGACGGAATGTAATTCAGGAAGAGATGGAAATGTTTTTGTGCATTTTGAGGAGCTGCATGAAAAAGGTACTACGGGCGAGATGCAGAGAACAATGGGGTAATTTGGGTTAGAGAAATGGAGAGAGGAGGAAACTAATGGAAGTGTGTGGGTGCACACATGGGTGATTCTTACACGTGAGAGGAAAACAGTTGTTGACTCTGAAGGTTTATTGCTTTGGATTTTTCAGGCTGGATGCGTGTCAGCATAATTGGCAAACATTAGCTGAAGGAATAGGTTGGAGGAATAGAAACTCTCTGTTATAGTACAGGAGTCCTTAAAATGCCAGCATCTGCCTTCTGCTTTCCTGACATACAGGAATGGCCAACGGTTGGGAATTGTGTGCAGTTTTTGGTTTTTAATATGCTGTGGCTGACCTTAAATATTTTAGTTCCAGAAGGCAGAATCTGATCTGGATTATATTCAACACAGACTGGAGTTTGAAATACTGAAAAGTCTTCCTGAGAATCCAGCAGAGGAGGTAGTATTTTCAGATTAAATTAGTAGATTTTATTGCATTTTGCATGAAGTTGGTAGTAAATGGGTAATTTTCTCTAATCCTGAAATATATGTGGCTGTTCTTTTATATAGTTGTTAGTTTTTTGTTGTTATTATTATAAAGTATATCTTGCATGATATAGCAAGATAACTGGCCTAACATGCATTCAGTGCAGAAATCAACAAACCTCCTTTGATTTCTTGGTGTAGTGAAATTCTCCCGTGTTCTGCTTTGAGAAATGAGCAGTAGTGTCAACACCTGAAGTTAAGAGATTCCAATCTGAGCTAAAATGCACCCTTGCTCTGAAATCAAAGATAAACTTGCTAATAAGCAATGACTAAATTCAGATTTGGGGGAGAGATGAGAGGAAGAAGAAAACAATAAATGGCAGCATGTAAAGAAATTTATAAATACGTCCGTGTCTCCATGTAAATTGTAACATATAGTGGAAAAATAATCGTTTTAGAAGTCTCTAATTTATTCCCACTCAGAAAAGCCATTAAAATTCACCAGCACAGTAAATTCATCCTCCTGTATTTGTTGTGGAACCACAGACTTAGGCTGTTTTATTAACACTATCTATAATTTTTGCTTATGAAAAAGTAAATGTATAGAAGAAGCATGCTCACAGATACACTTTTCGCTGTAAAGAGTTGTTTCATGTTATATTTTAGTGGCTCTAACGCCTACACTTTTAACTGGTATGTGGCCACATTAAATTTTCTCTTCTTAAATAGTTTAAATGTACTTTTAATTTCTACATAGGAAAATCCAGTTGCTCTCTTGCAAGAACTCTCAGTGGTGAAATCTCGTTATAAAACATTATGTATGCAGCTAGAAAAAGTTTCCGTAGAGCAAAGAGAATCCATGAAGGGCATCCGTGCTGCTCTAGAGAACACAACGAAGATGGTTCAGGCGTTACAGCAACGTACTGACCTTGAGGTAGTGTTTGCATTTTAATCACTCAAGTCTCAGACCTGTAAATGAACATGTATTTGTGTAACCTTTACGTAGATGTGAGTAGTTCCTTTGGAAACTGTCATACGTGAAGACTCTTAGAAGATACGAAGACTGTTTACCAGAAGAAATCTTTGCAAGATTGGAGTTCTTTTTGTAAATCACAAGCCTGATTCATCACTCAACAGTTAAACTAGTGGTATTCAGTTGTGCAGTTGAAACAATGCAATAATGGTGTGAATAGTGTGACATATGTTTAAATCTTTTCATGGAAATGGATGCCTCTTTGCACAGCTGTGTCCCAGTTCTATACTGACTTCTTTTAAAAGCAGCTACCTTAAAGAAGTTAGAAAGCGAAACCCATTTTAAAAGGCAAAAAGCTTTTAAATGGCAAATGTATTTTCACTGTCTAAAGGGAGTAAGTTAAAACCAGCACATTGTAACATAAGTGGTGGAATTGCTGTTAGTGCAAAGAAGTAAGTTTTTCTCAATATGATAAGGCCTATCTATCAATTAAAAAAAAAAACACAATAACAACACATTTTCATAAGTGGTCTTCAGACACTGCTTCATTACAGTTTCAAAGAGGTTGTGAAAGCATTAATTTTGTCCCTTTACAAGGAAAGTAAATGATTTAGATCAAAAAAGCTAATTGGTAGTCTAGTGGCAAAGACAGAACTGGTGAGACTAAAACACATTCCCAGATCTGAGCTCGCACTTTAATGTTCTAATGACAGGGCCCTGAGATTGTGTTTAATCTTCAACAGCTCTAGACAAGTTACTGGTGAGTCTTTACGGATAAAATGTACTGTAAAATGATTTAAAAGACAGTAGTTATATGTCACAGAAAGGAAAAAATACTTTCTCTCCCTGTATTCCAAGAATATGCTGCCAAGAATAATTTCATATTTGGTTTTTGTTAAAAATGGAAGGCTCTTGTCTCTTGAGTTATATTTAGACTTTTTAGATAAAGATTTTATTGTACTTTGTATATTTCCTAAACCAAAGATGGAGTAAACTGTTACAGAGAAATAGAAGTCTTTAAATTAAATACTTCTTTTTATTGAATAATTTATCTTCTTTCTGTTGAATCAATTATAGTATTGATGTTAAAGCAATATTATGGTTGGATTTTTCAGAAATACTTAGCTTGCGAATTTGCTTTAATTTGAAGGAAAGTAGGTGTCTACTGTTAGTTCCCATGAGAAAAGGACTACACAGACATTGAGTTTTTCTGTAAATATCATCACCCTAGGAACCGAAAGTATCAAGAGTTATCTGTTTGTATTTTTTTCTAGCACTTGCCTCTGTCAGAAGAAGAACAGACTGCCGCACAGCAGTTAGCCTGCGAAAGTGGTAAAGAAAAGAAATCGCTAGTGAAAGAGGTAATTGGGCCACGGAGTGTCAGTATTCCAGAAACCATTATCCAGGGTAGCTCAGCTGAAGTCAGAAGGGCTGGTTTTGTGACTTAATACCTCTCAAATGAATGGAATTCTTCAGAAATGGGGCTAAAGTTTCTAATAAACCTTTTCATTTTCATTGTATACTGATTAAGTTTATGATCTGTTCCAATGAAATTGTCCACAAAGGAAAAATTTGCTTTGATGAAAGACTTTGTTCCCCTTATTTTTCAATTGGGATATGTTTGTGGTTATTTTCAGAAATGCATTATATAAGAAGCCTTTGAGTGGGAGTGAAGAGTGTAATTGATTCAAATCAATGTGTATCAAAATTGAGAGAAATGTAATTTCCTTTAAAATATTAAATACAATTTTGAATATGAGTAGCAATAAGCATATTCTAAGTATAATGCAGCAGAACACAGATCTAAACTAATACTTGTTAAAAGTCGGATATTCTCCCATAGCTACTCAAAGCACAAACCTTTAATTATCTGCAAAGATTTGGCCTGGATCTCATATTAAAAGCAAAATATTAAAGAAGGTTAATGGAATGTAATTCTCTTACTGACCTTATCTTTTTCTACATGTCTTCTTCTCACTGCCCACTACTCTTCTCCCAAAGGATGCCTCGCTTTCCCTCCCTTTATTGCCACCGTTGGTTTGCCTGAAAGGCGTCCCGTATCTTGCAGTCTCATTCACTCTTTGTTTAAAAGTATCTTCTCCTACCTTGGTGAACGCTCTCAATTTCTGTCTTTCTGTTATTTAATTCTAAAGCCCTTAAGATACATCCGACACAAACCACGCCCAGTGCAAAATGTAGCTGTATCCTACAGCTACTGAGGCCAGTCTAACTGATACCAGTCCCTGCGTTGGCACTGAGTGTCTGTTGAAGATACTCTCTGAATGGCAGAAAGAATGGAAAGATGTCACAAAAGCCCTGGGATTTTCTCGTCAGTGCTGTGTTTCTGGCTGAGGACAGTCAGATATAGCTGCCTTCAGCTCGGCAGAACTCTCAGCCTCTGAAGGCTGCCTGAGCATAGGAAAGCCATCTTCTTTTTTTTTTTGAAAGCAGGATTTGTTTAATGCCTAAGATTTTGCTGTTAACTTCAGTGGCTGTGAGATCCTTGTTTACCCAATGGTAACATGTAATTACTAATGCAGAAATGAAATTGTAAAAAATAATTCCTAAACAAAATTCCAACAAATCCTGATGTTCTCTCTTGTTTATTTTTAGCCATGTTGTTCAGGATCTACAGTCTGTGACTCAACTGAAGGTGAGTGCTGAAAGAAAAATCTTCCTGCTGTTTTCTTTTTTTTTTCCCCCTTTCCCTTGACTGATGTCCCTCCGACACACTCAGCCCCTGTAAGCTTTGTGAGTAGTATCGATCCTTCAAGACTTCCATCTCTAATATTGAACTCTAGTAGTTCTGTGCTACTTCAACATACCAAGTTGCTATCTAAGATTCAAAGAGTAATGCATTAAACTGTTTTATTTTCTGAAAAAGGCAGATATTGTAAATAACTTCAGCTGACAAATAAGGGCCGTTAGTTGTATTCTACATATAGGTCTCATACCTCTGGGAGTTTTTCTTGCTTTGGATGGTGTTGAAGTGGATAGTGTTGTGTTTATGGTCTGGAAGAAATGATGTACTAGTCTTTGATAATTTTCAAAACTGAATGTCAGGTTCTTCAGAAACAGATTTTTCACTTTCGTTTCACTGTACAGATGTCCAAGACTACCCAGGAAAGTTTTGCTGACACACTCATACTGCCAACCCTTTTAGCTTTCGGAATCTGCATCCAGACTGGAAAAGCAAAGCCCTAACGCTAAACCATGACCCCTGATTCCTGCCCTTCTTGCACCAACCCCTCTGGTCTCCCCGAGCCCTGACCCCTGTCTGGGATGTGTGCTGCGGATTTCTTGCAGGCTGAGCTTAAAAATAAGGAAGTGTTTAACTTGAGAATTCTGTCTCTAACTCTAAGGTTGGATTAGCAAATAACTGTTCTCGATTTGAAGTCGCACAGAAGAGTTGATGACAGTCTGAACAAGAGAATTACAGAGCAGTCGCAAAAATCCCTCGTTAAACAGCGTGCGCTTTTTAGCCTTTTTCCGCAGAAACTGATATTCGATACCCTGTTTTGCTGAATAGTTTGCTTCTGTCTTACAGAGCAGCATTGAATGTTTCGCAGATGAACGAGATGAATATGAAAGCCACTGACTCAAGAACACGAATCTTGAAAGAACTTGCTATTGTGGAACTTGACAAACAAGGAAATGTTAAATTCGTTGTGTGAATGAAAGCTCCGTCCATTCTCATTTGATGCAAAAGCATCTTGGTCATAGCTCCTGGATTAGTAACAAGCAGGTATTTCTCTGGTGTCTAGGAGTTCTAAGTGCACTGTTGGAAAGCTGTTAACGTTTCTGTATACAAATTCTTTTTATAATACTTAAAATTTGAGAGTTAAAAACCATTGAGTTTCTTATTTTGTCTTGGATATTTGTAGGACTACAGTCGATGCATTTTTTTGAAGAGTATTGTTAGCCATGTGATGTTTCCATATTCTTGCTTCCATTCCTGAGTGGGTTTTTAAGACAAATTGCCCAAGCCACTTAATTGTACTTACATTCCTGAATAAATGATGAAAGCTAAGGAGATGAGGCCACAGATTTATTACGCTTTTGTTTACGTGACTCCTGACCCTGAGCCCTGCCCTAACCCCCAAACCTGGTCCCTGACCCTTTTCATTTTCCTTTGATGTGAACCATCTTCAATTTTTTACAGTCTTTTACAGTTTTTTAGCTGAGGTTGGAAGGGACCTCTGGAGGTTGTCCACTCCAACCCCTGCTCAGAGCAGGGCCAACTATAGCAGGTCGCTTAGTGCTGTGCCTTGAAAAACTCCAAGGATGAAGAGTGCACCACCTCTCTTGGCAGTGTTTGACCACCCTCACAGTAAAAAAGGGGATTTTTCTCCACATGTTCAATGTTTTTATGTTCATTTCAGCCTAATTTGAGAGAGTAAGATAATAATAAAGGTCCTGTGTTTTCTTGTGAAAAATGATGGCTGTCGAAGGAGAATAATTTAAATTAGTGTGCCCTGAGGAAGGGAAAGGCTGATTTCTGTGCTCATCAGTGAAATGGTTGGTCTATTTAGGGTTTATTGGGAAGAAGACTCATGGAAGAAGAAATGGGAGGAAATGACAGTGATTAACTTAATTTTATGACGTGCTGCTGAGTGCCCTCTTACCCACCAGGTTGCCATCGCTTCACAAACTGATCTGGACTGGATCCTATCGATCCCTTTCCGCACAAGGCGTATCCTTCCTCTCGCCGCCTTCCACAGCGTTCAAGATTTAATTAGTTAAATTAAAAGCGCAGTTAAACCGCTGAAAACGGCTCCGTACGTGGGAAACACGTGCAGCGAAGATGGTGGCACCCCGTCCCTGGGGCTGCACCGAGCGCAGCGCGGCCCCGCCCGCGCTCACCCCGACCCCTCCCCTCG